GCTCCATGTCAAACAGACTGAGAAAACAAAATCGAGTGCTTTAGAATTTCCCAAAGCCTTTAAAATGTAAAAACGTGTCAGTATTCTCCGAGAAGGTAGTATGAAACATTTTCCAAACAGAGCGCTGAACCATTTATTTGAGCTATTTATTTTAAATTTTCAGTTTCTTAATTTTTCATTTTCATGTCAACTGTGTCGTGTGTATGTGAATGCAAGTGTTGTTTTCTTTTGTTACTTTAAGAATATTAATTACAGAAATTTAGAGTCTTCTGTTTGCTCAATTAACTCTGTTTCCTTAAGTTTTTGTATTTGGGGCTTGTTGAGTTTGGTGCCTGCCTTGCATGGTTTTGTTTTGTTCAGACCTCTTTTGAAGTGTTCATTTCTGTATTGGAGATTTCTTGTTGACTTGTTGGTAGATATTGAACTCTGTTTATGATAGCCTGCCTCTGATGATGAATAAAAAAAGAATGATTTGCTCCAAGATGGGACAAGCTGATATTTGTCTTTGGGCGTTGGAGGCTACCTGGAAGTCAGCACCTTCCTAAGGCACTGCTGCCTCACCGTGTTGTTCTAGATACAGAGATGACTGACTGTTGGTTGGAACAAGCAGGGAAAAGAGAGTGATCTGTCCTACCTTCTGTTCCACACATCTTCCCATTCATTACCCTGGGAAATGTTTCTGCCCTGCCCTCCACACTCTGGGTTTGCATTGACTTTCTTCAAGGGTTTGCAGGACCTTCAGACTACTCCTGCTTTGCATTGGTCTTATTTTGGGGGTTTGTCATTAGTTCCTGTATATACTAACTTTTTCTTGCCTTTTTCCTTATTATCACCCTTTTCCTTAAATCTAATCCCATCTTTTTATCTTTTAGGGATTCCTCAGAATTTCTTCTCTGCTTACTCTTTGCAAAGCACTGTTACAGCTTTGGGTTTTTTTTTAAGTCTTTTGTGATATTTTCTAGAAATTTAGGTGGGAAAGGGAAGTTGTCTAATCTCTACCATCTTTTAAGCATCTGCATCCTTTATTTGCAAGGTTCACTTGTAAACATTTCTTGATTTACTCAACACTGGGACATGCATGCTTGAACTGGTCTTTTTTAGTCCCTTGATTTTTTCTTCAGCTGTGCGCCCCTTCAAAGACCACACATATTTCTGTGTTTGTTTCTTTGCAAGATGGTGGCTATATGGTAGCTGTTCGATTGAACCAAGTCTTACGAAGTCCAACTGTACACAAAATATAAAGTCCAAAATATAGTCAGAGATAAATGATTGTTTTGTAAAGGAATCTTTTTACCATAACTGGTGCCTATATTGCATTTCAAGGTCTATTTGTTTATAGTTTTACAGACTATCAAAGAAATGAGGATGCCACTTGATCATACATTCTAGCAGAGTTCTTTGTTGTTTCAGTTTGAAAACCATAGTAATTCACTTGTCTGAGAGAACCTAGAACATAAAAATATTAATGGAAGATAATTCAAATTTGCCCTTGTAGTGTGATTACAGTATTACTTTAAAATATGTGTGTGTGGGGCGCCTGGGTGGCGCAGTCGGTTAAGCGTCCGACTTCAGCCAGGTCACGATCTCGCGGTCCGTGAGTTCGAGCCCCGCGTCGGGCTCTGGGCTGATGGCTCAGAGCCTGGAGCCTGTTTCCGATTCTGTGTCTCCCTCTCTCTCTGCCCCTCCCCCGTTCATGCTCTGTCTCTCTCTGTCCCAAAAATAAATAAACGTTGAAAAAAAAAAAATTAAAAAAAAAAAAAAATAAAATATGTGTGTGTGTTTATATCCAGAATGCTATTACCTGTTAGCTGAAAGATAAGGCTGCAAAGAATGTTTATCAAAGTGTGATTTATAATAGTAAAACCTAGAAACAATCTCAATAATAAAAAGTAGATTAAACATGATAGTAAAACATTATACAGCCATTAAAAAAAAGACAGTGTAAAATAGCATTTACTGATTCAAGAAGAGCAAGTTACAAATTGTGTAGACAGTACAGTTGCATTTTACGTAAGGCTCTGAATATATAAAGGTTATATACCAGTGTGTTAGTGGATTGATTTTTATGTTCTCCTTGCTTGTTCTTTTTGTTTTTTCCCAATGAAAATGAATCATTTTTAAAATAAGTTTTTTAAAAGTTATTTAAAATAGCAAAAACTTCAAAAATCACATTTGTGAATATTCAGGGAATGATTCTTCTTTTACTTAAGTAAGCAGATATTTGCCATATTGTCTAATGTAGCTAGTGCAGGGGAGGAAAATGGTGTCCTCAACTCTCTCAGGATATCTGGCTGGGTCTGAAAATTAAACTGACAGATTAACAGGAGAAAAGTATATAAGCTTATTTAATAGAAGTTTTACATGAGATGGAAAACTTAAAAAGGAAGTGAAGACCCAAAGAAATAGTTAGACCTGAGTATTTTATGCTAGGTTGGATTAAGAGTGCACAGCAATGGAGGAATATGATGGGTTAAAGAATATGAGGTAATTGTAGTAAACAAGGTGGGGGCCAGCTTCGCAAGGCTTCTTTGTTACTATTCTTCTTGGTGTCCCTTTGTCTTTGGAGGTAAGGATGTTCCTTTCCTCTTGATATAAGAAGGGCATATGTCATATGAGGGTTTTATGATGGGGCAGGGAGGAGGTTAGAGTAACATTCCTGCTTCTCATATTTTCTCAAACTCCTTTGGCTGAAAATAATCAAGATGCTGAAGTAGTATGTCCTGAACTCCAACAATTACCATGACTAACTTGTGTTGGAATTTGTTTACTCATAGTTCAGCTTTCACTAATATTACGAGTATTGCTTTCAGTTATCTATTATACCTCATTTGTGTAGGAAATTTGCCAAAACTTAATAATAATGTCAACACTTTAATCATCAGGACAATGAATTGAACACTTCTAAGCCAATGAATTAAGTGAAAATTATTTTAATCAAATTAATTTACTTTCTATAAAAATACACTGAAAAACTGACTTAAAACTTCAGTACTATAAATGTAGACAGGCTGCAACTGTGATGCATGTTCAAAACGCATAGTTAATGATAGTTAACATGTATTGAACAATTACGGTATTTTGTGGAGGGCTTTACGTGTATTCTCTCGTTTAATCTAACAAATGTTTTCGGTAGATAGGTACTTTAAACATCCCTGTTTTCCATTTGAGAGATAAGTAGTTTGCATATAGTCACACAAGTAAATGGTTTAGAGGGAGAATTTGAACCCAGGAAACCTCACTTTGGAGGTAATGCTTTTAACCATGAAGATGCTCTACTTAGCTTAAAACTGATGGATGCTTTTGTGACCAGCATTCCCTTGAAGCAGTTACACCTTCGGGTCTTAATATACAGGAATAGAAAACTGAAGCCATTTAATTGATTATACGGTGTTCCTACAACTGAGGAGGTTGTCAGTATCCTAGTGTCCAAACGTGAACCCCAAAGAAAAACCTGTCTAACACTGTTTAAGTCCTAATACTGAATATGTTTTTGAGTCTCTTCTCAGCTGTTTCTTCTTCTCAATTCTAACCCCATTCCATAGGATGTCAGAGTACAGAGCTTTAGTTGAAGCAATCAAAAGAACAAAAAATAAATTATTACGTAAATGCTAGACCTTTTAGCAGCATTAATGTGTGGAAAAGTTTCATGCCTTTTTGAATATTAAGATTCTTCCTAACTTTAACTCATTAGTACTACTTAACATTTTTCCCTTTGGAAATACTATGAATGTTCGTTAGGACTTGAAGTGAGCTTCCAAAAGATTTGGTTGCTAGATTGTAGTTGTAATAATGTGTCCCTACAATTAATAATAAATTAATTCTAAGTATAGAGCATTAAAGTGTAAGGAAATTATATTAGTTGGCAGTTCTATTCAGCTGCTACCAGCAGAAACTCCCAAAATACTGACTTCCACAAGATAAAACTTTTTCCTCTCACAAAAAAGAAATTCAGTTGACAATACCGTAGTCATTAAAGACTCAAGCTACTTCCTTCTTTCTGCTCAGCTCTCCCTAGTGTCTGACTTCCATTCTCACGGTCACTCATGGTCCAATATGGCTGTTGGAAGTGCAGCTATCAGGTCCAGGCAGGAGGGGCAAATAGACTCTTACTCATTTTTTTTGTCCCCTCTTTTAGATGCTTTCCTAGTAGTTTGACCCTGCGACCTCCCTCTATCTATCTTGGAGGTTAAGTCTGTACCAACAACTAGCTGCCAAAAAAGGCTAGAATGTTGCTACTCAAAATAAAATTAGACTTCTCTTATTTAGGAAGAACGGGAGGAAAATGGCCAGCAGTCTGTCATAAGACTGTAGGAGACATCTTATCTAGACTTAAGTTTAAGATATTAAGACCCAGACTTCCCTAGCTGTCTATATAGCTGAATAGTGGCAGAGTTACGATCAGAACCCAGATGTCTTGTTGACCTCTGTTAACCAGAGGATAACAGTTGCTTCTAGTAATGATGAATTAGATAAAATTATAGTAAATCGGTCTGTATTAATAGGAGTTTTTCTTTGCTATTTTACCTCAACATCTATCTGCACTGTATCCACACACACTTGGATATCTCAGAATATTTTGCCTGCTTATTTGATAAATCTTTCTATGATAATTGTTCCCTTAAGATGCGAGTTATTGGGGCGCCTGGGTGGCTCAGTCGGTTGAGCGTCCGACTTCGGCTCAGGTCATGATCTCGCGGTCCGTGAGTTCAGGCCCCGTGTCAGGCTCTGTGCTGACTGCTCAGAGCCTGGAGCCTGTTTTGGATTCTGTGTCTCCCTCTCTCTGACCCTCCCCTGTTCATGCTCTGTCTCTCTCTGTCTCAAAAATAAATAAACATTTAAAAAAAAATTGAAAAAAAAAAAAGGTGTGAGTTATATTGGCTGTCTAGATTCTGTGATTAAAATTAATAGTTTTAGTAGGCTCTAAAAACATATAAAATTCTTTTTAACATTAATGGTTTTGTAACTTCAGGTAAACTTTTTTCTCAAATTTTCTCTTACAGTATAGCTGAAATACAGAAAGATGTGGAATACAGGTTGCCATTCACCGTAAACAACCTGACAATTAACATTAATATGTGAGTAGAATTGTCTCCTATATTTTTATGTAATAGTGTGTTTAAAAGTCTTTTCATTATTTTGTTTCTTAGTTATTAGACGTAAATTGCTTAAAGTAAACTTGCTTAAACCTTTCCCTTTCTAGTAACTGTAACTTCTAAAAAAGTTAATGCAATTTCGTGAAACAAAAAATTTTTTAAGACATCATTATAATGATATTGCTGTAAGAAAAAACTATACAAGAAGAAAGAAATGCAATAAAAAGATGTAATGATCTTTAGTACTATAATTGTTTTTATTGATTTGCACTAAAGTTTTAGCTGGAGGTAGGCTGAAAGAAAGAATGATAAGGACAATCAAAGGGATTGTGTATCGGAAACCATTAGAGATCTATTCAGCTTTATATCAAAAACAAGTTAAAATAGTCTAGTTTTCAGCAACAGATACACTACATCAGCCAGAAAGTTCAAGGCTCAATTTGATCTGCTGATTAAAGAAAAAAAAATCAAGTTAAAAATTTTCTTCGTGAGAGAAAAGATTGGACAGGATGATTGCTGAATTCCCCATTTAACCATAACTGCAGTTATTAGTCTTCAGCATGAAAGTATTAAGTTACTACTTTCTCAGATTGCAGTAGGGGGCTGGGTGCTGGAGCAGGTGTTTGTGGGTAAGAAGCACTTAACTGGAAGACAGGAAGCATGGCTTATTCATCTTCATATTCTCACCGTCTAGCACAATGCCAGCACAGAAAAGGCCTTGTTAAATCCTAGTTGAATAAGTGAATGAAAGTGTGAACGTATAACAGTCCCAAGCATGATGCTGGGTTATCTTGATGTAGAGGAGCTTTTTGAATCCTCACAACAGTCCTGCAAATTGGGCAAATTACAGACACATAGGTAGTGAACAGCATAGTCAGGATTACAAACCCAGATTGGTTGTGCTTCAAAGACCATTCATTGCCTTTTTTACCAAACTACTTTAACATCTTTATATAAATGAGGTAGTTTTGTCCCCCATATGCTTAAGTAGGAAAAGCCAAAAAGGACCCAGTTTTCTTTTTGACAGTGCTATAAAATAAATAGTTATCTGAGCCAGCAGGCGAACAGAGAGACCGTTTAAAGGGACATATTCTTCTTTGAGAGGTTTGGAAATCAGTATCCATATCCAGTAAAATCCCATTTTTTAAGACTTCGATCTCTGATTTTAAATTTGTGGTAGTTCAGGAAGGTTGAGATTTTCACCTTTTTTTTTTTTTTTTTTTTTTTTTTTTGTATTGAGACTTTACTGTTCTTTACTTGAAACCATGTGATTGACCTCAGACTTGGGAGAGATGTGTTAATGGGGACAATTAGAAGAGAGCTTTATAGAACCAAGGCATGAAGACAGCTACAGTGTTTTAATTGTAGTACTTTGGCTTTTATCTATTCACTCTTTAAAAATTCAGTAGATGGTGAAATAATTCTTGGCAGTATTTCAAAAGTAGGAAAACCACGAGGAAATTATATGGACAGAAACTGTGGTCCAGCTGATAGCCAGACTGGGTTACTGTGGTTCACCTTGTACAAATAACCTGATCTGACTTTTATCTGAGATTTTACGTAGCTTGGTTTATTGTGTTTGAAAGCAATTAATTGACTTGGTGTAAAGAATATTCTATAACTCAGAGTATCCATATTCCACATTAAGAAGGTTTTACTATATTGAATTACTTTATGATATTGTTGCCAAAGTAGATCCTTTTGTATATTTTCAATCAACAACCATAAGAGAGCACTTACTACTGTGAATAATTAATTCAAATTAAAGTATGAAAATTTAATTTGCTTTTAACTTAAGTTTGTTTTAGCATTAATGACTATATAACATAACCCTTGTCTTTTTGTTTTTCATCTGTTCTACATTGAACAGATTGCTCCCTCCACAGTTTCCTCAGGAAAAACCAGTGATCAGTGTTTATCCACCAATACGACATCACTTAATGGATAAACAAGGAGTCTATGTTACCTCTCCATTAGTAAACAACGTATGTATATAGTATAATTTATTTCAGAGTAGTATAACAGGTGTATTACTTTTCTGCTGTATATTCAGAAATCTAAAATGCATTTAAAATCTCATTTGGAATCAGTACAATTCCGAGAAAAAAAAAGTCACTATATCTAATAGATAATATTGATTTGAAAGTTATTTGTTTTTCTGTGATGAGGACCTGTTGATCTTAGAACTTTGGTTCATAGTAGATCTTCCATAGTTGTCAGGAGGGGATAAAATTCAAATATGCCTCCAAGTTCTTAGGATACATAAATAATTGATTAATGTGAGGAACTGTAACTTATATGTACTCTCAGTATTTATCATTGAACCTTAAAATTATTTTAAAAAGTGTGGAAATATTTTAGCTCCATTATTGGTTAAATAGATTTTTAACCTGATTTATGGTATCGAGTGTATAGGAAAATATTAAAAGTTGTAGATTGCTCATATGGTCATTTGACACAATATCCTTTGTTTTTCATTTACTTCCTGACTTGCAGAAGGGGATTTAAGATTAAGTTTTAGGATGACATTATCCTAATAAGACTTATTCTGAAAGTGATTTTAATCTTCCTGTATACTGTTACTTTCAGTTTACAATGCATTCAGATCTTGGAAAAATTATTCAGAGTCTATTGGATGAGTTTTGGAAGAATCCTCCAGTTTTAGCTCCTTCTTCAACAGCATTTTCATAGTAAGTATATTTGTAACGAAAAACCTATATGTATATATTTATTTTTACTTATTTTTATCAAAGTGCACATAATACAGTTTAAAATTTCAAATGATGTTAAAAGGCAGTTCTCTTTTTTTCCACATTCCCACCTTCAGACAGACAAATTTATACTTTTCAGAGGCAGCTGCGTTTTCTTCTTTTAGCTGCTTCTCCAATATTTACCTTCGTCTTTCTGAATAATGTAAATATAATATAAACATACATCTCTTAATTCTCTCATTTTAGGTGTATCAGCCTTCTGTTATGATTGATGAGACTTTATCTTTCACAAACGTTCCTTTCCTTCCAGCCTCTCAGTGATTGAGGTCATGATTTTTACTTAAATTTCATGTTTGATATTTTCATTAATTTGATTCTGGAAATATTCCCTGTTGCTAAGTCATGTACTTGGTCATGATTATATTTCTTTTATGATACAACTTTTTGCTTTTTTTTTGGAGATGATAATTCTGTGTTTCCATTGGTTATTTTATCTTTTTAATTTTCCACATCTTTCAGCAGCTTTGAAAAATACCTTTCAAATCGTTTTTACACATCATCAAACCTTGACAACATGTATTTTCCTTGTGAATCTGCAGTTTGATTAGAGACTACTAGAGACAGCTCATCTTTGTTTCATCTTTTGCATTAACTGTTGTGGTTGCAAATCCAGGGATTGAAATACTCTGAAGGCTCACTTAATTTTCACATCTGGCAGTTAAAGTCAGTCACAAAGTCCCATCCAGGTTCAAAGGGGTGGGGACTAGACTCCCATCTCTTGATAGAGTGGCAAAGGTCAAGAAATCTATCTGTAGATGTTTTGAAAATACAAAATGCCACAGTTATTCTGGCAACAAGAATTTACTTCTCTCCTATATGCAAAAATGTATGCAGTCCCTTACAACCAGTGGGACATAAAGCCTGGTATTGTAAAAATCTGTGCTCTGTTCTGGGAGAACCCAGAGGTCCTTAGGAAGCTGAGTTCCGGCCTTTAAAGAGGCAGCACTCCAAACATCCTGAACAGAAACAGCACAGATTCAGCAATTTGAAAAATGCCTGGGGCACACAGAAGGTAGAGTGATTTACTCATCACAGAGTTTGTCCAGAGAAACCGGGATCTCGGGACCCCCCACCCCCGCCCCACTTAGGAAAAAAGGAGCTAGCACATGTCTTTTCTCTGCCCGTCCCCTCAGCTTAAACACAGCTGTGGGAACCAGTGTGGCACCAACACTTGCTATGTAACTTCCTTATGCCAGGGCCTGCCGCCCCATGCTTCATTGGATGTGCCCTCACCAGTCACACTTGCTTCAGTCCCCAGCACTGTGAGGTCCCTCCCCCAGAAGACCTGCACAGCCCTTGCCAGCACCCCAATACACAAAAGCCTAAGGCATTTGCTGCAAAAGCCTAAAGCAAAACATGTTAAAAGTGCCTGCCCTGCCCAAGCACTCTATGCAGGTCCACTTAGGCCATCTCAGTCCCCACAGCAGAGGCTCCAGGTCTTATTTAGCAGGCAGACCAGTGCACTTCACTCCCCTGGGACCAAACACTACCCACAGCAGACCAAGAAAGCCACTGCAGAAAACCAGACTGAAGGGAAAAGTGGCAGGAACACAACAGGGCACACACAACACACAGAGGCACAGCCCCCCCACCCCACCCCCCCCGCCCGAGTGCTGGGTCCTGAGGAACAGGAGGCACTGCACTGCAAGACACTGCAGGATCTCGTGGATGTAGCTGGCCTTCCTAGCACATGGAGAGTTAGACAAAATGAGGAGACAGAGAAATATGTCCCAAATGAAAGAACAAGACCAGACCACAGCAGGAAACCTAAGTAAAACGGATATGAGTACTAGGCATGTTAGAGAATTTGAAGTATTGATCGTGAAGATACTTGCTGGCCTTGAGAAGAGTGGAGGACATCAGACCCTTAACAAAGAGATAAAAAAGAACCACTGAGAGATGAACACAATAAGTGCAATTAAAAATGGACTTGTTGGAATATATAACGTGATAGATGAAGCAGAAGAACAAATTAATGATCTGGATGAGAGAGTAATGGAAAGTAACCAAGCTGAACAAATGAAAGAAAAAAAATTGATGCAAATTGGGACAACTCTTAGGGAACTCAATGACTGTCAAGTATAAGAATATTCACGTTGTAGAGATTCCAGAAGAAGAAGGGGGTGGGGGAGACAAAATTTATTTGAAGAAATAATAGCTTGAAAACTTCCCTAATCTGCAGAAGGAAACAGACTTCCAGACCCAGGAAGCATAGAGATCCCCTCTAAAAATCAACTCAAGGAGATCCATACCAAGACATAGTATTAAAATGGCAGAAAGTAGTGAGAAAGAGATAATAATGTTAAAAGCAGCAAAAGAAAAGAAGATAGTTGCATACTAGGGGAAACCCATAAGGGTATCTGGATTTTTCAGCAGAAACCTTGTAGGCCAGAGGGAGCGGCATGATATATTCAAAGTGCTGAAAGGGAAAAATCTGCAGCCATGAATACTTTATCCAGCAAGTCTATCATTCAGTATAGTAGGAGAAATAGTTTCTCAAACAAACAAGAACGAAAGGAATTCATGACTATTCAACCAGCCCTACAAAAAATATTAAAAGGAACCCTCTGAGTAGAAAAGAAAGACCACAAATACGAAAAATAAGTATATTTGTAAAAATCAGTCAAGGGATCACAAAAGGATGTAAAATATGATACCATATACCTAAAACATGTGGGGGAGAGGAGTAAGTGGGTTCAAACGTCAGCAACCATCAACTTAATATAGACTCCTATATCCAGAAGATGTCCTTTAAACCTGTGCTTTGTATAACCACAAATTAAGAACCAGTAATAGATGGGGTGCCTGGATGGCTCAGTCTGTTAAGCTTCCAACTGTTGATTTTGGCTCAGGTCATGATCTGTTGATAGGTGGGATTGAGCCTTGTATTGGGCCTCAAGCTGACAGCATGGAGCATGCTTGGGATTCTCTCTCTCTCTATCCCTCAACCCTATCTCAAAATAAATAAACATTAAAAAGAAAGTAATGAGCAAAGAATAAGGAGAAAGGAATCCATGCATATCACACACACACAAAAAAACCCCAGCAAACCAGGAAACAGCAAGACAAGAAAGGATCAGCGAAAAACTATAGACACTACTACAAAACAAGTAACAAAATAGCAATAAATACATATACAATTGACACTTACTTTGAATGTAAATGGACTAACTACCCCAAGAAACATAGGGTGACAGAATGGATAAAAACACAAGACTCATGTATCTGCTGCCTCTAAGAGTCTCATTTCAGCCCTAAAGACACCAACAGGGCGTCTCAGTGGCTCAGTCGGTTAAGCGTCCAACCTCAGCTCAGGTCATGATCTCACAGTCCGTGAGTTCGAGCCCCACACTGGGCTCTGTGCTGACAGCTCAGAGCCTGGAGCCTGCTTTGGATTCTGTGTCTCCCTCTCTCTGACCCTCCCCCATTCATACTCTGTCTCTCTCTGTCTCAAAAATAAATAAACATGAAAAAAAATAATTTAAAGATACCAACAGATTGAAAGTGAGGGGTTGGAGAAACATTTATCTTGCAAATGGAGGTCAAAAGAAAGCTGGAGTAGCAATACTTATATTGGACAAAATAGACATTAAAACAAAGACTGTAACAAGAGATAAAGAAGGTCCTATATCATAATAAAGGGGACTTCCCAACAAGAGGATATAACAGTTATAAATGTTTATGGACCCAACATGGAAGCACCCAAATCATAACAGTTAACAACAAACAAAAAGGAACTAAATGATACTAGTACAGTAATAGTGGGGGACTTAACACCCCACTAAAATCAATGGACATATCATCCATAGAAAATCAAAGAAACTGTGGCTTTGAATGACACACTATGCCAGATGAGTTTAACAGATAGATACATTCCATCCTAAAGCAGGAAAATACATATTATTTTCAAGTGCACATGAAACATTCTCTAGACTAGAACACATATTAGACCACAAAACAAGTCTCAACAAATTTGAAAAGATTGAACTGATAACATGCCTCTTTTCAGACCACAATGCTGTGAAACTAGAAGTCAACCACAAAAAAAAGGTCTGGAAAAAGTACAAATACATGGAGGTTAAATAACATGCTACTAAACAATGAATGGGTCAAATAAGAAATCAAAGAAGAAATTAAAAATTACATAGAAACAAATGAAAATGAAAACATAATGATCCAAAGTCTTTGGGATGCAGCAAAAGTGGTTCTAAGAGCGAAGATTATAACAGTACAGATTGCCACAAGAAGGAAGAAAAATCTCAACTTAACATATTTAATGAAGCTAAAAAAAAAAAAAAAATGAATGAAGTAAACCCAAAACCAGAAGAAAGAAGTAAATAATAAAGATTAGCACAGAAGTGAATAATACAGAAACTAAAACAAAAAAACAGTAAAAAAGATCAATGAAACCAGGACCAAGAGCTGGGTCTTTGGAAAAAATCAATAAAATTGATAAACCTCTAGCCAGACTCATCCAAAAAAAGAGAAAGGACCCAAATAAACAAAATAACAAATGAGTGAAATACAAACAATTGTAAGAGAATATTATGAAAAATTATTTGCCAACAAATTGGGACAACCTAGAAGAAATGAATGAATTCCTAGAAACACATAACCTACAAAAACTGAAACAGGAAGAAACAGACAATTTGAACAGATGAATTACTAGCAAGGAAATTGAATCAGTAATCAAAAAACTCAACAAACAAAAATCTAGGACCAGTTGACCTCACAGGCAAATTCTACAAAACATTTAAAGAAGAGTTAATACATATTCTTCTCAAACTATTCCACAAAATACATGAGGAAGGAAAGCTTCCAAATTTATTCTCTGAGGCCAGCATTTGGCTGATCAGAAAACCAGAAAAAAGACACCACAAAAAAGTGAACTAACCTCTGAAGAACATAGATGCAAAAATCCTTAATAAAATACTACTAGCTAACCAAATCCAGCAATACATTAAAAAATCATTCACCATGATCAAGTGGCATTATTCCTGGGATGCAAGGGTGGTTCAATATTTAAAACTCCACCAATATGGTACATCATATCACTGAGAGGAAGGATAAAAAATGATATCATTTCAGTAGATGTAGAAAAATAATTTGACAAAGCACAGCATCCATACATGATAAAAAAATTCTAAACAAAGTAGATTTAGAGAGAACATACCACGAAATATAAAGGCCATATATGAAAAGCCCACAACTAATAGCATACTCGGTAGTGAAAAACTGAGAGCTTTTCCCTTAAAATGAGGAACAAAACAAGGATGTCCTGTCACTAGTTTTATTTAATAAACATAGTATTGGAAACGCTAGCCACAGCAATCAGACAAGAAAAATAAATGCATTTAAATTGGTAAGTATTTTGTAAATGTCACTACAATATGCCTTGCTGATGGTTAATTCTTGTTGAACCTAATGGGAGTTCTCTGTTCTTCTTGGAATTTGAGGTCTGTGCCCTTTATTAGATTAGGAAAGTTTTCCACTCTAATTTGCTCACATATATCTTCTGCCCCTTTTTCTCTCTCTTCATCTTCTGGGACTCCTATGATATAAACGTTATTCCTTTTTAATAAGTCGTCGAGTTCTCTAAGTTTTATGTTACGATATTTTGCCCATTTTTCCTCTTTTTTGCCTCATTGTTTTCTGTAATTTTATCTTCTATATCACTGATTCACTGCTCTGCTTCATAGATCACAGCATCCATTCAATATTTCATCTCGGTTATAGCATTTTTAATTTTCCCTGACTAGATTTTTGTTCTTTTATTTTTTTCAGAAAGGGATTCTCTGGTGTCTTCTATACTTTTCTCAACCCCAGCTAGTGTTCTTATAATCATGGTTTAAAATTGTAGTTCAGACATCTTACTTACATCTGTGTTGATTAAATCCCTGGCCATCATTTCTTCCTGTTCTTTCTTTTGGGGTGAATTCCTCTGTCTTGTCATTTTAGGAGAAGAAAAACAATAAAATAAAAAGTAAAAATTAAAAAAAATATTAACAAAACAAAATCAAATAAAGGAAGCCAATGCCAGGTATGTTTCATTCTGTTTTTTGAAAGAAGCTTGATAGGAAAGAGAAAAAAGAGAAAGGAAAAAAAGTTTAAAAAAATTTTTAAATATTAAAATGGAATAAAATAAAGTAGTATCAAAATTTTCAAGAGAAAATAGAACTCTTTTTACCCGTGAAAGAGAAAAAAAAAATGAAAGAAAAAAGAAAACAACAGAGGCAAAAACAAGCAAAGAAAAGGAACAGTAGACCAAGCAGTTTGAAGGGATTTGTGCTGCTCTTCTGGGGCATGTGCCTGGAGACTACAAATGGGTGGGGTTTGGTGTAACGGCTCCATTGTCCATTTGGTGGCACTGCTTAGCTCATAAGTATGTATACGTGTGCACTAAAGGTGGAAATGGCTTCACCCAGCTCTTTAGTCTCTGGCATGGGCATTTTGTGCCCTTACAGACACACATTCAAGCACCGCTCCTTTGCCTCAGGTTTCTGTCCACTCCCTGCCTTTACCCTGTCTGTGTCCAAGCTATCTCCTTCTAGAGTTTTATCTCACATGGGACTGCGTTTCAAAACCCACACTTCAGAGACCCTCCCTACTTGGACCCATGCTGATTCTCTGGGGGGAGGGTCTCATCAAGCAATGGCCAGGTGCCATCTTGTCCCAGAAAACATTTGCCCGATCACGCAGTGGCAGAGGCTCAGAGTTTACGGTAAATCACAACACACAGCTGGCGCCAGGTTTTGCTGCACTCTGGCATCTCTGTTCCAATATCAGTAAATGTGGCAGCACTCTGGGGTCTGCTGGGACTTTTGCCCTCGGGGAAAACGTATGGCAGTATGCAGTTCATTGCAGGTAGGGCAACTGCTTCTCCCTGTGTGGCACACGGAACCCTCAGACCCCACTGCCTGCTCCTGGGGATTGGTCCTGCTTCCTCACCAGAGCACCTCCAGGCCCTGAGCTCCGAAACTTCAGACTCTGTGCTCCACTGTTTCTAGAATCCTGGCCCTATTGAAACCCTCTCCTTTCTCCCCGTCAGTGGCTTTGAGGAACAGGTTTCTTGTGCAGTCCCCTGTGAGTGCTTTCACTCTTTATTTCTCTCTTTCTCTCCAGCTGTTTTCTTCCTTCATTTCAGCGCGCTGCACTCTTCTTTCTCTTTGTCTCTCTGTCCTCTCTGCGTGAATATGGTTCCCTACCCTCTATGGCTCCATGGTTTTTCTCTCCCCCAATTCACCTCTCTGTACCACGTACCTGCCAAGTTCTCTGGCTCACATTACACAGATTGTTGGATTAATCCTCAGATCATTTTCCTAGGTGTTCAAAATTGTTTGATGCTGATCTGTGTTTCAGGGATGAGAAAAGCTCAAAGTCTCCATACAACTCTTCCATCTTAACTCTCTATCTAGATTTCACCTAATTCTTAAAAGGCCTTAGGATTTTTTTGAATGGTGATTTAAAATCACCTGCTGCATTAGCCCCCAACAGGAGAGTCAACTTGTCCTTTGGACCTTTGAAGCCAGGCATCAACTTCAACTTCTTTTCTCTACCTTAGAAAGTCGTAGATGGCATTTTCTTCCAACAGAAAGCTGTTTTGTCTGCATTGAAAATCCATTCTTTGGTGTAGCCACCTGTATTATTTTCGATCTTCTCAGTAACTTGCTGCAGCTTCTACATCAGCACTAACTGCTTCACCCTGCATTTCTGTGTTACGAAGAAGGCTTCTTTCCTTAAACCTCACGATCCAAAATCTGCCGAGTTCCCACTTTTCTAATGCAGTTTCCTCACCTCTCTCAGCCTTCGTAGAACTGAAGAGCATTAGGGCCTTCCTCTGGGTTAGGCTTTGGCTTAACGGAATGTTATGGCTGGTTTGACCTTCTGTATAAACCATTAACATTTTCTCCACATCTGCATTAAGTCTGTTTCATTTTCTTTTCATTCGTGTGTCACTGGAATAGGACTTTTAATTTCTGTCAAGAACCTTTCCTTTCCATTCACAACTTGGCTGTTTGGCCCAAGAGGCCTAGCTTTTTGCCTGTCTTGGCTTTTGATACACCTTCCTCACCAAGCTCAGTCATTTCTAGGTTTTGATTTAAAGTAAAAGACCTGTGGCTCTCATTTGAACACTTAAGAGGCCATTGTAGGATTATTAATTGGCCTCATTTCAATATTACATCTCAGGGAAGAGGGACACAGATGGGGACCAGCCTGCCAGTGGCACAGTCAGAGCACACACATTTATCAGTTAAGTTCATTGTCTTATATGGGTGCACTTCATGGCACCCCAAGACAGTTACCATAGTAACATCAAAGATCACTGATCACAGATCACCATAACAAAAATAATAATGAAAAAGTTTGAAATATTGCAAGGATTATGACAATGTGATGCCAACGTATGAAATGAGCAGATGCTGTTAGGAAAATAGTGCCACTAGACGAACTTCGATGCATGGTTGTCACAAACACTCAGTTTTTTAAAAGATACGGTATCTGTGAAGCGCAATAAAATGAGTTATGTTTTATATTTGTTTTTAGCAGCTCTTCTCTGCACTTAACTATTTTCCTTTGAAATCTTTTAGAAAAGCAGTCATGACTGTCAGTCATATTTTTCCAGATAAAATGAGAGCTATGATCCAAGCAACCTGTCTTGAATATGTTTTCTGGATTAAACGTCCTCCATTCTTCTTATGAAGATAGCGATTAATGCTAACGGAATGCTCCAAACTCAAAAAGAGCCTGTCTGTTCACTTCTTCTCTGACTAGTTGAATATTATATTTTCTAAAACATTGTGCTTTTTCATGGAAACCATATTTATTGGGGTGGCGTCATATTTTATCAGTTTATATAATATTTTAAGTCAGTTATATGATTATAGTAACAAGATTCTATCTCTGTTGCATGGCCATTGTGATTTAGAACCATGTGGGGATAGTTTTATAGGTTTACCCCTAATGTCTAATCTAATGTTTTTTCTGTCTTTCTTTTTAGCCTATACAGTAATCCAAGTGGGATGCCTCCTTACGCATCTCAGGGTTTTCCATTTCTTCCTCCATATCCTCCACAAGAAGCTAACAGGACTATCACTTCTTTGTCTGTTGCTGACACTATTTCTTCTTCAACAACAAGTTACACAGCAGCCAAACCCGCTGCTCCTTCTTTCGGCGTCCTTTCAAATCTGCCATTACCTGTTCCCACAACAGACGCTTCAGCACCGGTGGGTATCTTCAGTTTTCTACATTTTGTATCCTTGAGATTGTCCAGTCAACAAATATTTATCATATACCTTCTTGTGGCAGCCACTAAGTAAAGCACAAAAGATAAAAAGATTAAATCGCATTTTCAGCTCAGGTAACAAACTCAGAAGTGACCAGCAAATTATCAAATAATTGCAAATATGAAACCTCCAGTAGAGTAGAAGAGGTAGTTTGGAATTACAGTGAAGATACAGTACTCCTAGAAACTGAGGTAGAACTAGAAGCGATGCTTTCATAAAAAATGTGTTTCTGCTTTTTCACCACTTTGTCCTTAGTGCCTCAAACCACCCCTGATACACATAGTAGGTGCTCAATTAAAATGGGGCAGGTAAGTGAATGTATTTGTTTATGTTTGAGGCCAGATTTTGACAGATGGTAATGAATTTGTCAGAATGAGAGGGGTTATGTAAAGTTTTCTGTGAAAAGGCAATAGTATTGACAAAGTCTTGGAGGCGTAAACCAAATTGCATTCTTGTGAAACTGCATTTAATAGATCTCTCTAGCTGTCATAGAGGAAATAGACATGAAGGCACGAGAAGTGATCATGAAAGAGAAGTAGGTCTCAGACTGTGGAGGGTCTGCTCTCTACCTTGCTAAGGGCTTCAAGTGTCTCACTGGTTTAAAAAAATTTTTCTTAAATTAAGTGGTAACTGGGAGCGCCTGGGGGGCTCAGTGAGTTGAACGTCCGACTTCAGCTCAGGTCATAATCTCGCAGCTCGTGAGTTCGAGCCCCGCGTTGGGCTCTGTGCTGACAGCTCGGAGCCTGGAGCCTGCTTCGGATTCTCTGTCTCCCTCTCTCTCTGCCCCTAACCCATGTGCATTCTGTCTCTGTCTCTCTCAAAACTAAATAAACATTAAAAAAAATTAAGTGGTAACTGTTACCATGTGGGACGTTATTGAGAGACTATGTGAATAAAACATATAAAATGATTTAAAAACCTTCATTTTAACCTTCAGTGAGTCTCACCCATAGTAATACTCAAATTAGTATAAACAAAATTACAAGAGAACTTTCCAAGGATCCTCAATTTTAAAAAGTTGTTTTAATTTAAACAACAGATTGCCTGTTATCTCCCCTACTGTCTTGTGGAACTTAGTTATGCAACTATTCAGACTTTTGCCAATTTACTAAATTTTATTTGTATTCAGTATCTTTCAGATGAGACAAATGTATTCTTATGTAGCCGTAAAATCCACAGATAATTCTCTGCACTTGTTACAGATGCAGTTAAGTGTTTTATTTAATAGTCATATACTTGCCCAGGAAAGAGCTAACACAGGTACTTACATGATCCCACGAAAGAAAAAAAAAATTAACCCTATATATACAAGGTATGCTGAAAAATAAGAAAAGAAAGAAAGAAGGGCACCTGGGTGACTCAGTCGGTTAAAGGTCCAACTTTGGCTCAGGTCATGATCTCCCAGTTCATGAATTCAAGCTCTGCATCAGGCTGTATGCTGACAGAGCAGATTCTCTCTCATGCCCTCTCTCTCTCTGCCCCTTGCTCCCCTCTGCCCACATTCTTTCTCTCTCTCAAAATAAATAAACTTTAATTTTTTTTTTTAATTTTTTTTTTTTCAACGTTTATTTATTTTTGGGACAGAGAGAGACAGAGCATGAACGGGCGAGGGGCAGAGAGAGAGGGAGACACAGAATCGGAAACAGGCTCCAGGCTCTGAGCCATCAGCCCAGAGCCCGACGCGGGGCTCGAACTCATGGACCGCGAGATCGTGACCTGGCTGAAGTTGGACGCTTAACCGACTGCGCCACCCAGGCACCCCAAAATAAATAAACTTTAAAAAAAACAAAAGGAGGGGGAAAAATAAGGACAATGTGAGGTGCGAAGATGAGAAGATGAAGGTGATAATTGTAAGATGCGATCCATTAAAAATTACATTTATAAGTAAATAGGAGCAGTCAAAAAGATGGCTAAAGTTTAATACCATTTCAAACTCTCTTTAGATAAGCCAAAATGGTTTTGGTTACAAGATGCCGGACGTCCCTGATGCATTTCCAGAACTCTCAGAACTAAGGTAAAAATCTTGGGAGAGTAACGTTAGTATTCATTGTCTATTTGACCAGATCATCATTGTCATATCCATGTTAAAGGGTGTTTTGGGTTGTTTTTATCTTCACTATTTCTGTATTGTGGTTGTCTTAGTGGGAAAGTTTTATAAATCAGTTTTATGTCTTGTAGTTTGTATTTATTGACTATGTACCCAGGGATTTTTCTAGATACTGGGAATGATATAATATTTTCCAGGATAACAATGTCCTTTCTCTTTTGTGGCTTAGGTTATTGTGAAAATTATTTCTCAGTACATGATCTCCAGCGATTTCAAATATTTCTTGGCCTATTTTAGACCTTCTCATTGTTCCTTTTGTAGGTAGAACTTTGTACATAGAGAAACATATTAATGTTCTCATAAAGTAATAGCACAGTGTTTTTACAAGCCAAATTGTATTCAAATTGATGGGAAATAAATTTGTACTATTCAAGTTTAAGGTCCTATTTTTCATGGAACACTGCTTCTCTCAGACACTTCATGAAAAATTGTTTTGTGGCCACTCAACTTTGGGAAACATTACATCCTTTATACCGCATTGAAGATTTATAATATGCATAAGGCTGTTATTACTAATGCTTCTGAATGTAATTAAAAATCTGTTTTTGTAGTTCTTTTTGTCTTTGGGATATCTCCTACCAGGGATGTACAGCCAGATACCCATGAGAAATCCTACAGTTAAAAAAAAAAAAAATGTTTACCATAATTGACTCAGTGTTTCACAGTCATTTTTAGGAAGTAGTGATTTATTATTTTCTGCTGATAATATTCAGTGAAGATTTATATTATATTACATACATGTTAAGGTTTTCTAAGCACTGTAATGTTTACAGCAACCCCATAAAGTAGATACTGTTATTTTTCCCATGTTATAAAGGATTCTTTTTTTTCTTCCTTCTTTTAAAAAAAATTATTATGAAAATGTCACAAATACAAAAAGGTGAACCTCTTTGCTTGTCTTGCATCATATACCCTTGTAGCCCTTTTTGGGAAGTGTGGGTATGGGGCAGAATTATTTTAAACCAGATCCCAAACATAGCATTTTTACTCAGTTCTTTACTAAATTTCTCTACCAGGTAAGGACTTTGTGTTTACCATAACCCCAATATCATCATACTTAACAAAATTAATGATAATTCTTTAATAGTATCTCATTACCCCAGGATCTTAATAATTAAATCTCTTCGTTGGTAGTTTAGGTGAATCAGGATCAAAACAAGGTTTACCTATTATATTTGATTACCATATTTATTATGTTTTTTTTAGTTGTGAACCATTCCCCCCATTTTTATCAGTATATATGTGTGTATATATATATATATATATATATATATATATATACACACACACACATATGTATATATACACACATACACATATACACATGTAAATACATATATGTGGTAATATAAGTTATATACATGTCATGTTATTATATGTTTGTTGAAGAAATTGGTTATTTGGCTTATAGAATTTCCTATATCCTGTTTTTGCCTAATTGCATCGTTGTAGTACCAGTGAAATGTTCTTCTATTTCCCTATTTCTGTTGGTAGCTAGATATAGAGTTTTAATTAGACTTAGGTTCAGTTTTATCAAATTATTGAGCTGTACACCTTAACCATACACAATGTTTGTTATATGCCAATTATACCTCAGTGGTGAAAAAAAAAAGATTTAGGTTCAGTTCCTTTGGCAAGAATACTTATAATTAGTACATACTTCCTTTTACATCATTTATATAAGGCAACAATGATGTCTGGTTGCCCTATTTTTAGTGACATTAAGACTGAGACAGGTTGAAACATCTAAATTATTGGCTCTCCGTTATTTTGTTAAAGGTTGCAAATGTGATTTTCTACTTCCAGAAAAGGCCAGAATTCTGGAAGATGAACTTTCTTTAAAAACTTTTTTTTTTTAATGTTTATTTATTTTTGAGACAGAGAGAGAGCGTGAGCAGGGTAGGGGCAGAGAGAGAGGGAGACACAGCATCAGAAACAGGCTCTAGGCTCTGAGCTGTCAGCACAGAGCCCGACGCAGGGCTCGAACCCATGAACCACAAGATCAAGACCTGAGCTAAAGTCGGACGCTTAACCGACTGAGCCACCCAGGAGCCCCAGGAAGATGAACTTTCTTAATCAACTATTTAGTTGTATTTAAATACACTTCATATAGGAACAGAAAGACAAATGCTTATTTGGTTTTTTATCAATTTTCCGAACATTGAGTTGATGCACACATAAGCTCCCAACTTTCTGATATGCAAAGGTTTTGGTTTGTTTCTGTAGTTGTTTCTGTTCTTTCAGAAAGTAGTTCTTTCTACTAAGAATTTAAAGTAGAATCTACTTTCTACTAAGAATTCGTAGATTTTTTTAAAACTGTATTTGATATGTTTCAGTCTATTGCAGTCATTATTCTTTTTGATATGTAAGCATTCTGTCTTTAGTCACTAGCAAATTCTTGACATTGGCTTCTATGTCCTTTCTGACAAAACAAAGATGCCATGGGATCATCATGAAATTTATTTTCTCTGGCCTAAAGTCCTTTCTCTGAAAGGCACTTGTTCTTTTTCAAAACTACAATACCAATATTATTACTGTGATTCTTGAATTCAGGATAAGAGTTTGTTTCTTATACTTTTGTGTTTTTGTATTTCTTTTGTGTTGTGGCTGAAATGTACAGCCTAATACTATTTTTTAAAGTCTCTGAATAATACTTCTCTGGATGGTATGTAACTTAGAAAAAGCCAGTTTCATTCATTTCTATTTACTCTGAATTTTATAGACTTCTTTTAATTTATTTTTTTAAATTACATAATGCTTTAATATGGATCTGTAGTCAAAACTAATAAAGGTTTAGCTTCCATTCCTATCCACCCATCCAGTTCCCGCTTTCACCCTGTGGATATTGACTTTTGGTTAGTCCACCATGATTGCTTTTCTTTAAATATTTTATGAATCTGTACACACACATATGCATATAGTCACCTTTTATTATGATAACCCCACACCTTTTAGCTAAACAGGTACAGAGAAGTTAACTTGTGACTCTTCATGAACCCTACTCTCCTGTCATGATTGGATGTTACACTCGGACTAATTTGTGCTCCATTGTGGTTGGTTGATACTTTATTTGTTTTTAAGGTCATAATTTGCATTCTTACATGCATATATAAAAACTGATAGTTCAAAAATTATTTAGAGCCCTGTCAACTGAATAAAATGGAAAAATTGTGAATATATGTCATCACGGAGAAAACAAGATGACTGATACTCATGAACTTTTCTGTTGTGCTGCTAGTGTATCACAGCTTACAGATATGAATGAACAAGAGGAGATATTACTGGAACAATTTGTGACTTTGCCTCAACTAAAACAGATAATTACCGACAAGGATGACTTAGTAAAAAGTATTGAAGAGCTAGCAAGTATGTCTTTCCTTACTTCTTAAGTTGTCTGAGAAAAATATGATCTTTAACCTAGAAATAAACCAGAAATTTATCTTACAGGAAAAAATCTTCTTTTGGAGCCCAGCTTGGAAGCCAAAAGGCAAATTGTTTTAGATAAGGTGAGTTAGTTACCATTTTAAAGAAATTCATACAACTTACAAATATAATCAAATAACATTTTTTTAAAATCTTTTAGTATGAGTTGCTTACACAACTGAAATCTACTTTTGAAAAGAAGATGCAAAGGCAGCATGAACTTAGTGAGGTAAGATGTTTAGCTCTTTTCCTTTACCATAAGATTTTATTTGTACATTTAATGAATTAATTTATTTAAGGGAGAGAGTGCAAGACTGGGGAGAGGCGAGGGGGGGTGGGGGAAGAGAGAGGGAGGGAGAGAGAGAGAGAGAGAGAGAGAGAGAGAGAGAGAGAGAAAGAGAAAGAGAATATCTTAAGTTCCATGCTCAGCAAAGAGCCCAATATGGGGCTTGATCCCATGATCCTGGGATCATGACCTGAGCCTAAATCAAGATTCAGACGCTAAACCAACTGAGCCACCCAGGAACCCCATAGGAAAAATTTTTAATCTCAATATGCATGAGCCACATTCTTACTTTCATTATCAGAAAGCATTTATTAGGCGACTTTCTTTATAAGGCTTGATACCTTTAAGTGAGATGAATAGCTCTCAGTTATGGAGCATTATAAATGATTTGTTCTGATGCAAGAGCATATTTGGTTCCAAAGCAGAAAAATACAAAAAGCCCCAGAAATAACTTTTCTGAGAATGTTATTATGATGCCAGTTTACCTTCTATAATAAAATCTAACAACAAAAAACTTGAACTTCAGTCTCACTTTTAAGCTTATATACAGATACCTTAAATGAAAACTTAGCAAATGGAAAGACATGAAATTGTAAAGTTTAATTCACCACAAATAGTAGACTCTTTGCTAGAGATCCAATTAAATAAAAAATAAAAATCACTTTATAAAATTACTTGAAGCATTTATAAAATTCAACTTACACTGCACTATGTTGTTTTCATATATTGCCCATTATTCCCTCAAAATCCTAGGAGGTAGGCGTTGGTACTACTTTTTCATAGTACAGATGAACATTCTGAGGCCCAGGGATATTAAATAACTTCCCTGATGTCATATAAATAGAAAGTGTCAGAGTCAGGAATCAAATGTAAACTGTCCTCCCTCTTAACCAGAAAATCTGAGAGAACCCAATGAAATACTCTTGGATGCACGTTAGAGTTTAGTAGATACTGAATAAGCTTTTCACAATATTCCTATGATTCTTTATAAATTTTTAGTAAACTAAGAATAGAAATTAATTCTTAACTTGATAAAGAATATTAGAAACCAACAGCAAAAATTTGAATTGCTAAACATTTTCAAGATCCCCTTAACATTAGGAATAAGACAGTGATGCCCCAATATAACTCCTGTTTAGCAATGCTGGAAAGGTTCAGGCCACTGCAACAAGACAAGAAAAAAGAGGTACAGTATAAAAGAAAAAATAAAATAGTTGTTTACCAAAAACAAGCAAAAATCCTAGCATATTGAGAAAGTTTCCCCCGAGATTGCAGCAGCTACTAATGCAAAGTGAGGTAGAGAAAAAAAACTCATTTACAATAGCAACAGAACTGTAATATACCTAGAACTGAACCCGGTGAAGGAAGTTAGGAAACTTTACTGAATGACAAAAAAGAACACTTGAGTAAATGGAGCAACCTAAAATATTCATGGAGTGAATCCACTATTATAAAGATTTCATTCTTCTCAAAATAACTTAAAAATTTACTTTAAAAAAAATTTTATTTTAGAGTGCGTGAGCAGGGGAGAGGGGCAGAGAGAAAGAAATCTTAAGTAGGCTCCATGCTCAGCATGGACTGAGCCACCCAGGCACCCCCAAAAATTTAATTTACTTCTTTTTCAAGTTTTATTTTATGTATTTATTTTGAGAGAGGGAGCACGAGTGGGGAAGAGGCAGAGACAGGGAGACAGAGAATCCCAAGTAGGCTCTGCATTCTCAGTGCAGAGCCTGATGTCAGGCTCGAACTCACAGCCCATGACATCATGACCTGAGCCAAAATCCAAGAGTCAGATGTTTAGCCAACTGAGCCACCAGGTGCCTCTAATGTACTTCTAGTCAAAATCCCCAGTTTTTTTTTTTTTTTCAGTTTGATTTATTCTAAAGTTCATCTGAAAAACTAAATGGTTAAAAGTGGTCAGGAAGAGCTTGAACAAAAAGAATCAATGGGGGAAGAAACCACCCCCCCCCCTTCCAGGTGTTAGAATAACACTATAAAACCTCATAATTTAAAAGATTATTTTTCTAGGAAGAGAAAAATAGTTTTATGGAGCAGACTGTGCAACTCAGAAATAGACTTGTGTATATGAGTAATGGGTTAGAGAAAATTGAGGGTTTAATAAATATTTAATTGGCAGTCCATTTAGAAAGAAGATCCCTGTATCACACCATACACACTTAAAATATTCCAGAATTATGAAAAGTAATTATGAGATTATGGTGGGAAAATGCTTTCCAAGTATCATACAAGAGGCAGAAGCACAAAAAAAATTAATTTTGTTTATCTGTCTATAAGTTTAAAACTTGCATATACTGAAGATTATAATATCAAAATTAAAAGAAAAGGGAACAAATATTTGTAGCATATGTAGCACGTACGAATGCCAGTGGCCCATAAAGAGTCCTGACAAATAGGCAAAGGAAAGAACAAGAAACTCAAAAAGAAATATGAATGTCCAATAAACCTACGGGTATACTCGGTCTTCTGTGCCACTTATAATTGCTTGAAATTATTTTTGAAACACTTAAAAAATACAACCTTGATTCCTACGCTTGTGTCTCGATGTGCTCACTCAGAATCTTCGGGAATGATGAGTCAGTCTTCTCACTCTAAAGCATATAAATCATTTCATTAGACTGTTGTTGCAATGAGTGCAGAAACATGCCGTATTGTATTCGCCCATATACCCAGTACCGGGTCCAGTGCTTGGCACAGAGTAGATACTCAATAAATATTCAATGAATAAATAAATGGAAACATTTGAAAAGACATTCAGCCTGTCAGTAATAAAAATAATCAAATTTTACATCATCCATGTGAGCCAGACTTGCAAAGATAGATGACCAGTGTTGGCAAGGGTGATAAGAAAATGGTTCATTCGTGTACGTGATGTATCAGTGGGTTGCCACCTTACACCCACTAGCATGACTATTATTAAAAATAGTCTTATTTCTGGCAATTAGGTCTTCAGTCCACTTTAAGTTCATTTTTTTTGAGTTCAATTTTACATGTGAGGTAAAATAAGGGTCCACCTTCATGTGGCATGTGAAGATCCAGTTGTCCCTGCACTATTTGTCCAAAACTGTCTTTTCCCCCACTGAATGGTCTTGGCACACTTTTTGAAAACATTTGACCATGTATGTGAGGGTATATCTTGGGGCTTGATCTTTCATTTGTCTACATGTCTCTTAGGTCAGTACAGCACTGTTTTGATCGCTGTCACTTTGTAATAAGTTTTGAAGTCAGCAAATATGCGTCTTTATTCTTCCTTTTCAAGATTATTTTGGCTATTTGGGGTCACTTGAGATTCTGATGAATTTTAGCATGGGTTTTTCTTTTTCTGCCAAAAATGTCATGGAGATTTTGATAGGAATCACATTGACTGTGTAGAACACTTTGGGTAGTATTGTCATCTTAACAGTATTAAGTCTTCCAGTCCATGCACCCGAGATGTCTTTCTGCTTATTCGTGACTTCTTCAGTTTTTTTCAGCAGTGTTTGTGCAGGTCTTGTGCCTTTTCGGTTGAATTTATTCCCATCGCTTTCGCCATATTCATTAGAAGTGTGTCCCTGTGTGCAGCCCACCCTCAAGTGAAGGTGATTTACACAAGGGCAGCAACACCAGGAGCTGGGGATAATTAGGTGTCCTCTTAGAGGGTGCCTACCGCAATGACCTAATTCCTAAATTAGAAGGAGACACCGATTGGCCCAGTTTCCCCTCATTTACTGGTTTGCAGCTTTGGATTGGGTTTTTTTGTGGTAGGTATCTACCCTTATCTCCAAAAGCTGAGGACTTGGGTGGTAGCAGATTTCCTCAAAAAGACGCAACATAAGGCGTACAATGAATTTCTCCCTTCCCCTGTCTCATTTTTCTGAGCGGTGTAAATAAACTAAATGAGCGCTTGATTTTCTTTTTCAGAGCTGTAGTGCGAGTGCCTTGCAGGCAAGATTGAAAGTAGCTGCTCATGAAGCTGAGGAAGAATCTGATAATATTGCTGAAGATTTCTTAGAGGGAAAAACCGAAATAGATGATTTTCTCAGTAGCTTCATGGAAAAGAGAACAGTATGTAATACTCTTCAGTCGAGGACAAGGGACAGTGTAATATCCAATTGCTTAACTGTATTCATGAGCAAACGTTAGCGCAGTACTGAGCTGCAGTTTTGAGTGCCATGAGAAGAGACGAAAGAACCTCTGTTCTTTAAGAATGATAGCAGCATCTTACTATGATTTTGTTCTAAAGCTACTATATCAGCTAAAGTCTAGTCAATGGTTGTAGGCTATGCACCTTCTTATGTTCAGCAAGTTGTTTCAAAAGGGAATAATGTATACTTAGTTATTTTAAAACTTATAAATGTTACTGAGAACATTCTGGAATAGTTTCTTTTCTGTTCTGATTTTCATTACATTTAAAGAAAGATCAAGAAAGTCTATTTAACAGTATCTTGCCTTTCGATAAAGTTCTAAATATTTACCTAATTTCTCTGAAACATCACATTTTAAAAGTAACCTTTTCTTAATAAACTTTATAAAATGTGTATGATATATATGCATATCCTATTAAGGAACATGGCCAGGTTTTGTTATCCCCATTTTCCATCAGAGAAAATTGAAGTTTAGGCACATTAAAAACTATGGTTATAGCATTTGCGAGGCATTGATTTCTAGTTTATTCTTCTTTGATATTATATAACTGTACCTTGAAGTTTTAATTAATCTTCCTGATTAACAACAGTAGGATTTTTATATTTTTAGAACACAGGTATTTGAAATTACATAATCAGAGAATTGATATAAAGAGGTTTATTTTACATTCTGGAAGTTTACAGGCAAAGGTTATCTTCCAAATACAATTCAGTGTTTGTGGGGTGATGATTTTTAAATTCTGAGCTACCTTAAACATTCAAAAGTAAAAAATGTCAACAAGTTAAAGGATTCTTATATGAATTCTGTCCTAATGTAGGAAGCAGTAAGTAAATCACTGGAGAAATGACTGGTACTTTAAATCTTCTAGATTTGCCACTGTAGAAGAGCCAAGGAAGAGAAACTTCAACAAGCAATAACAACGCACAGCCAATTCCATGCTCCACTATAGGTAAATTGTTTTCCAGAAAGTTTGAGTATTCTTTAATTGAAGTATTCTTACCAGTGCCTGTTGAGTTCTGTCTTAGCTTTTGTGTTATATGCAACATATAAAATGCTCTGTGTTATACATTATGTATAATTTTATATACGTAAGCATTTAACCAATAGAAATCTTTTGGATATTTTGTCACTGTGCTGTTGCCTTAAATGAATTTCTTTTTTGTTTTTTTGTGTGTTTGTTTGTTTTTTAGTGTTTGACAGCTACGTATGTAGAATTATAAACTCTATCTATGATTAGTACCTTTCTCTTAGCTGGTATATGGAGTAAACCGTATCACCGTTGACATTTCTCACTAGTCTCCTTTGTCATTTCTTCCTTTAAGATGAACTTCCAGTCTGTCTCTTTTCCATCTCACACCAGGATTATTCCAGTAAATGTTTTGCCAGTCCCCTGAATTGAGGCTTTCCCCTTCCTATAGAGCACTGACAGAGTGATCTTCCTAAAACCAGCCAATGGTATAATTTCTCTGCTCTAGAACTTAGCAATGGCAGTATCACTATTAAATTTCTCTCTGGTTTTAAGCCCTCTGTAATCTGGCATATATTCGAGAGCACGCACTTTAATTTTCCATTTTCCCCATATGTTCTCCATTTGATGTTCTTTCTCTTATTACTGTGTCTTTGTTCAGTCCCAACACTCTCTTCCTTTTCCTCTCCATCTATCTAGTTTTAGGAATGATTTGGTTTTAAAAACTATTGCCCACCCCACCAAATTTGAGTAAAAGCTTGTGTTATTGAACAATGCAGAGATAGTTTGTAGAGCCAAAATGTAGGAAAGGACAGCTCAGATGCTGAGCTTGAAAACAGGGCAGGAGGCTGTAATAACCAAAGGCTTCTTCTCACACCCTTGCCAAGGCTGCTTGTTTCTCATTTTCACATCTGTTCTTTTCTGTCTCTCACTCTCATGTGCTTCCCCCACCTTGCTCTTCAGAGAGCCTTTCTTTGTTACACTTACACATGCTCCACCATTGCTGCCCACAGGCCTGACCGTATTAGGATGGTTCAAGTAGCTCATGGCGACTAACCGGGGTTTCACTACAAATCCCCAGCAAATAGGCTGACCCGGCAGCAGCTTGGCCAGCAGATTAGCGTCATGTCTGTGGTCCTTTGCTCATTCAGGTGGGCTGAAGCAGTGCACTCTGAGAAGGGAGCATGGGAACCTCCCTGGGAGCATTTATAGCGAGGGAAATGGCAGGAATTTCTTCTCTCCACCTCAAACTCATCTGCCCCTTCTCTTCATCTAGTCGTACGTAATGTTAGTGCCAACATTGACTTGTTTTATATCTTGTTTTATATCTTGTTTTTTAAATCATACTGTCAGTCCCTTGGGGAGGGGTTGATTTCTCATATCACAGTTTAAGAAGAGAGTGGGCACTGAGTAATTGTTTATATGAACATGCTAGAATCCTTTCCCCACCTCTTTTCCCTCATAGTCCAGTTATCTTCTTATAGACATGTCTGAATTGGAAGAGAATATCATGAGATGAGAATTTATCATCTTAAGTTAAATCTTAGGGTTTTCTATGTTCTTTCTTTTCAGATTTTCCTGAAAACCTACCAAGACAGAAATGACACAAGACTAATAAGCAAATTAATATGTATGGTTTGCAAATTGGTATTTCATCACAGTGACTGAATTCATAGATACCCTGTATAGATTGTATACAGAACTGAGACTGATTTTGTACAGATTAGAATGATTGCTATGGTCTTTGCTTTGAGAAATTTTTCTGCACGATTTGCACTATAAATGTTTATTTATTGTTGATAAATCCTATCATATTTAAGTTTCACTGCTGGCCCTCTGTTATTAAGTACCTATGCATGTGATTTTAGCTAGTATCAATATTTTATAAAAATTGCCTCATTTAAATTTATATTTTTAATTTGAAACTGCCTCCTTTCTTTATCAAGAATGGTTTGTTTAGATATTTTTCCTGTCAACCTTTTTGAAAAATTACTATTTTCAACTGTAGAAAGCCTTATTTTTCCTTATTTCCAGATGATAAATTTTCAAAAAACATTTGTTTTTAAATATTCATAATGTCAGGAAACACCATGCCTACAAATGTGCCGTCTCAAAAAGGTAACTTTTAATAACACTAAATGAAAAGAATACATCAGCTGCTCATACATGATTTAATTTTTAAAATTAAAGATACATTTAAGAAGCAATACAAGTAAATATATATTTTACCTAATAGAAAAAGATTGCCTTCCACTTCATCTAGTCCAACAACTTTTCATAATAATGTTTTTATATAAGTAACTAATAGGTTTGTGATTGGATAATAATATACTTTCTAAATTCTTATGTTAAGAACAATCTTTTTGTTAATAAGTAGTAATTCTAGACACAGAAGTCAATGAATTCTTTTGATCTTTACTGTGAGTTAGCTTTTCATAGAGAACAGCTTTAGTAATAAAATTAATATTTAACTTTTAGGCAATCTAGTTTTTATTTAATTTTATTGAAAATTCTTTTTAAATTGTGCTACGTTCAGCAGTTTGCTTCTATACAATGTTATAGAAGGAACACATTTTATAGGTAGCTGTGAAAGCTAATAAAGGAGAAAATCTGGAACTGTATGTATCTGAGGCTTTGGTAAGGGTATCTAAATCACAAAACAACCTAACACATATCTTCGTTTAAATTTCATCCCAGTATGTATTGTCATTCCAAATGCCAGCATTTGGTACAGTGTTTTTTTCTTCATTCTTTTTCTTTCTCTACATGTTCTGGCAATAGAACTTTAGGAAGAATATAATTATTTTCTTAGACTTGACAAATACTTAATTCTTAGTCTGTGTTTATGGAAAAGCAAGTATTCATATGGACTATAAATATATAATTGGAATAAATTAACTTTCATTAATTGCCTGTCTCACTGGCGCTGTACTAAGGGCATGCTGTTTAATCTTCAAAATGACCAGACATTATTTTTAAGGATTTGTAGATGAAAGAACTCAGGTAAGTGTCTTAAATTTGTGGCAGCCTTCTGGGTATTTAGAAACCTTTCCTTACAGACCAGCAGAACTTCCAATTGTCCCAGCAGTCACTGCACTGGAGGACATAATTGTCTTTTGCAGACCATCAGGTAGCTTTCTTAGAAACTGTAGAACCCATAACAAGAAACCAGCAGATCACAGTCATTCTGAAGGGACATCAGTCCATTTGATCTACCAATGTACTTAAACATCTGTTCAAAAAAAGTCCTTGTGGAAATACTATAAAACAGCCACTCAAACATGGTTTAGGTGCTTGGGTGCTCATCTCCTTTCCCCTCCACAGAGACAACAACAACAAAACAAAAACAAACAAAAAACATAAATTTTCTTATACAGTAAATTTCTTCCACATAATTACATAATTCATCTCAGTGTTTCTTATTCTTTAAGCCAAAATGCCTAGTTTCATTCTCTACCAGTTAACATAGCTTGCTTTCTCCTTCCAAAATTAGACAGCCTCCTTACAACTTAGTCATTACAAAAAAGTTTGATCGTGAATATCTGCGTTTAACCAACAGACAATTCAGTTCAGATATAGGTTGTGTAAGTTGTCCAAGATAGAAGAAAGTCTGCATTTGAATAATGCTCTGAACTTTGGTTTTCTTTTGCAATGGAAAGTAAGTGATTTTGGGGGTAATTTTATGGCCATGTTGTTTTCTTCTAAAAATTGGTCATCTGGAGAAGTCATAACAGGGGGGGAAATGGCTGCCAAGGCAGTTTCTGGTTTTACTTTAACATATAATAGAAGACCAGATGGAAATCAGGAATATTATTCAGAGTAGAGGTTTGTCATGGGTAGAAATTTAAACACTGATATCTCAAAATAGAAGAAAGTTTTCTAAATAAATAGGATGTACAGTAAAGATACCTGTCTCTGGGGCGCCTGGGTGGCTCAGTCAGTTACGTGTCTGACTTCAACTCAGGTCACTATCTCGCAGTCTGTGAGTTTGAGCCCCGCGTCGGGCTCTGGGCTGATGGCTCAGAGCCTGGAGCCTACTTCCGATTCTGTTTCCTTCTGTCTCTGCCCCTCCCCCCGTTCATGTTCTGTCTCTGTCTCAAAAATGAATAAACGTTAAAAAATAAAGTTAAAAAAAAAATATATATATATTGTCTCCAAATTGGAAGATGTTCTAGGAATAAACTAGACTAGGAAATTTATATTGGAGTAGAGGTTGTTTTACAGGTAAGTTTGATCACAATTTACATATGCTTAAATTGAAGGAATTTCAATGAAAATTGGAATTCATTTTTAGGGCAAGAATGTAAACTGGTCTTAGAAAATAAATTCGTATGCCAAGGTTTCCCTTGTCTTCACCTACCTTTATTCTGAAAAAAGTTCCTCTGTTGATTGCTAAATTGTGATCAGAGTTCTTACCTACTTCATATCATTAAATTTTCTTGAATATCACTAAATAACAAGTCACTTGAGCTCTGAATATTACCAGTTGGGAAGTAATCTGCTTTGAGTCAGTTTTACATTGGTTTATTACCTGTGCTTTAAAAGAGTTGCCCTAAATAAAACTTCATGTTTGATTTAAAATGAAATTATGCTAGCGGTGCCTGGGTGGCTCAGTCAGTTGAGCGTCCGAATTTAGATCGGGTCAGGTTCTCGTGGTCCGTGAGTTCAAGCCCCGTGTTGGGCTCTGTGCTGACAGCTCAGAGCCTGGAGTCTGTTTCAGATTCTGTGTCTCCCTCTCTCTGCCCCTTCCCCATTCATGCTCTGTCTCTCTCTGTCTCTCAAAAATGAATAAATGTTAAAAAAAATTTTTTTTTAATGAAATTATGCTATTAGCGATTTTAGTCTTGGATTAGCCATACTCTTTCAAGACCCTGTGAAAGCATAATAAACTTTTAATATGCAATAAATGTAACCTTTTGTATAAATATCAGTGTTAGATTAACTTCTAATAAGTAGTCTAAATGAACATATTGTGTAAATTA